TTTTTTTTTTTTTTTTTTTTTTTTTTTTGCCAAATCTACCACCAGAGCTCTAATAGATAGCCTAAATTAAATACTATTTCTCACTTCCTCTTCTTTTCTCAGCTTTGGCTTTGGCAGAAAACCTATTCAGAAGGAAACTATCCCAATAGCAGATGGCAGGAAATAGCAGATGGCAGATTGAATAAACAGCCTCTAAAAAACACTAGTATTAGCCTGTATCCTCAACTCTCAAATGTGGCACAGAATCCTTTAGCACCAAGTTTCTGTCTTACCTTTTTCTTTATAAAGAGAAAGTTTTAATATTTGAGGAGTCCAGAGATTGGCCTGCTTCCAGAAAGGATAGAGAAAATGTGGGGACTTCAGCATGATTTGATGTTTGAGGATTCCTCCTAATCAAAACAGATAAGAAGAAGGGCATGGAGCCCTTACCCTCCTTACAGCCCTGTCTCCACCTGACTTTGTGGTTTGGCACGGATCCTGAGGAACAAGGAGAAGCAGCTTCCACCCCAGGTGCTGCTAATGTGTGTGAACTCAAGGCAGGAGCAGCATTCGGAATTCCTTTCCAAGTACCATTCCTTTTGGGAACACTGTAACTGTATATTCCTCATCTTGGACTGCTTAGGACTTTGAAGACCATGTTGGGAGCTAGAGTAGGCAAGAGAAGATAGACTAAAGGGCTGGAATGGAGCTATGAAGGAAGCAGCATAATTATGAATCTTGGAGGGCCTGACTTAAATTTTGCTCAACCTTTACTTTTTTCTTTGATTCCGTGAAGAGTGCCCCAATCTCTCTTAAGTGCCCAAGAAATATCTGTTACTCAAAGCGGATTTTCCTCTAGAGTTGCTGTGCTATTCTGTTTTTCATTTTTTTCTTTTATCTGTTTTATTTTAAACTTCCAAATTATCAGCTTTAGCTCTACATCTCTGTTCTAATGAAGTATGTATTTACATAACACCATGGTTATCATTTTTCATAAAGCAGGGGGTGTTAAGGAATAAAATTAAAATTTTTTTTTTGTTATTATTATTTTGCCTTCTCTTTCCCGTTACAGACTATAGTTAATTAGTTTCATCCTCAAGTTTTTATGAACTGTTGACTTTTGTTTCTTTTGGTCATATTGAGTAAACTCTGTACATATCTAAGTGAAGGACCTGCTGATGGAAGATGTGTTTTGACATTGACGTTTAAGAGTTAACACCAGTTTTCTCTCCTCTTGTGCTTTGTTTAGGTTTCGACACAGCCCCAACTGCTGGCACCTGCGAGACTGGACTATCCACACCTGGATTAGGCAGTGTCTAAAATATGGTGCAGAAGACAAAGCCTTATATACCGTAGTAAATAAGGTGAGTGGTTTCCTGGGCTCTGCATCCTGTTTTCCTGAGTTTAGATGTTGTGGTGTTTGTTTCTATTACAGTACAGTAAAGAGTAATACCAAAATTAACTGTTTAAAATTATCTGCCATCAGATATCCTTTTTAGTTTGATGCTGGGTATAAATTAACAAGTTAAAAATAAAAACTCCTATAGTTACTGCTTTTCCAACCATCGTGATTCAGAAAAGGACAGTTAAAATCTGTAGAACTTTGGCATCTGGGTGGTATGGGGATCCAAACCCATGACCTTGGTGTTAAAAGGCTGCATTCTAACCAGCTGAGCTAACCAACCAGGCTAGAAGAAAAAACTTTGCACACTTGTGGTCATTTCATTCATGATCCCTGAGTCTTGGATTTCTTGCTGGATTCCCTTTGGTGAAGTGTAGGGAAAAAGACATCACCATTTTTGCTGGAATGTGATCTCCAGAGTACTCAGACTATCTATCTTGCAGATTTTGAAAAAGACAGTATTCCTATGTCTTTCGAATCCTCTGACTCCTCCCCTCAAGCCCAAGAACACCCTGTGCTTAGGATCTTTCCCATGTTACACTTCACCCAATGGTTGAGTCTTCATTACCTTTATCATATGAAATAAATAGAAAATAAGCAAAAGTTTAGAATGTTACTATTGTGGGTGTCAAGCTAAACACTAGTTTGAGCCATAAAAATATTTTAATAATATTTTTATGAAAATATTATTTTTATAATGTCATTGGACCTTGAAAGTTAGAACTTAATAAGGAATACTGATTTTGTTTTTGGATCCCCTCTGTGCAGAATATTTTTCATTCCTGTAACTTAGGCCCAGTTCAGCTTAACATACATTGTACAGTTTGTTTATGAGACATTGGATTGGGTATGATAGTAGATACAAACATGAGCAGTAGCCTATCCTTGCCTTCAGGAAGCTTATAATTTAATAAGGCAGATAAGCAGGTTCACTAATAAGTCTGATATTATGCAAATGTAAGTGCCACACAAAAATATCAGTAAAAAATTTAGGGAATTTAAGACAAGGGAATCCAGTTGGAAGGAAAGAGATAAGTATTATTTAAACTGGTCATCAAAATGCTTGCACTTGGAGATGGGCTGGCAGGAACTACATTAACAGAGGTATGTCTGGGGGAAAACACAGGCTTAGTTTGAGCAATAATATGTTGCCTTTTTGCCTAGAGTATAAAGTATATAAAGTGGGGAATGGAGTAAGGGAAGGAGTAAGAAACTGAGTTAGGTCCCTAGATAAGGACAGTCACTAGGTGATGGCGTTGAATCTCCAGAGAAGGAAATGGAAAGCCCCAGGGGAACCTGGGGGTGGATTAAATCATGCTCTCTTTAGTCCAGAGTATAATGACACAGGTTACACTCAAAGAAGATTCCTGTGAAAACAAGACAGGAAGGGTCTAGAAAGTAGAATAAAGTCTATCTCATTTCTGCTGCTCCTAGAGTCTTTTAGTGGAAAGAACACCTGACTAGCTCAGAAGACCCATCCTGTAACTCCACAGATCCACCAGCTGCCGGTAACTTCAAGCAAATAATTTTATCCCTCTGGGTCTTAGTTTTTTCAACATTAAGTCAAGTGGGTTATACTAAATCAGTGGTTTCCAACCCTGGCTGCCAGTTAGAGTCGCCCGAGAAGCTTTTTAAAAATTATAGCTGCTTGTCTATATCCCTGGGATTCTAATTTGATTGATCTGTCCTAAACATTGGCATTTTTTTCATGGTTTTTTAATTTAATTTTATTTTTTAGATCAGTTTTAGGTTCATAGCAAAATTGAGTAGAAAATACAGAGATTTCCAATATACCTCCTGACCCCACACATTCGTAGCCTCCGCTGTAATCAACATCCTACCCCTGGGGTGGTGCGTTTGTTACAATTGATGAACTCACATTAACACATCAATGTCATCCAAAGTCCATAGTTTACATTAGGGTTCACTCTTGGTGTTGTACATTCTGTGGGTTTGGACAAATGTGTAATGACATGTATTCACCATTATAGTATCATACAGAGTAGTTTGCCCTAAAAATCCTTTTTGCTCTGCATATTTATTCCTCGTTGGTATTTTTTTAAAGCTCCCAGCTGATTCTAATTTACAGCCAGAGTTGAGAATCACGGACCAGTTATTTGTAAGGTCCCTTTTAGCTTTAATGATTTATTATCCTAAAATATTTTATTTTCACCCTGCCCCTAGGGATTAGAGCTAATTTGAACGACGGCTTTGAGAAATACAGACAGATACTGCGTATTAACTACAGCCTTCAAGATAGTAGCTTCTAAACATTTTTCCATTTCAGCACACCTGTGTCATTCCAGACAGGCCAACTAGCAACAGTGACTCAGTTCAGCAGTGATTCACAATTGGGAATTAGAACTGTATCAGAATCTCCCAAGGGTATGAGTGTAGTTAGAAAAATTTCCTCGGTGTTTCTAGTGGTTGGTGAGGGAAGAATGGAACAAGTGGGGGGTGGCTGATAATCCTACTAAAGTAAGAATTTAAAACAAGTAAAAATGCAAATAATTTAGATAATTGGCAGTCACACTGGAATATGCATGAAAATCACATGAGAAGCTCACTAAAACTTATTCAAGTTTCTTTGCCCAGTTCCCAAAGATTCTGATTCTATAGGTCTGAGGCTTAGGAATCTATTGTTAAAAGCACTTCTAGAAAATTCTGAGGCAGGTGCTAAAGGATCCACATTTTAAGAAATCTGAATTATCACATAGCCAGCTGCTTGTCAGTACAATATCCTAAGAACTTGGTTAGTAATAAATATTTCTTGACACATTTCTTTGGTCTTAAAAGCAACTAAGGGACCAGAAAATGCTGCATAATCTGTGCTTTCTCATGAGTCCATTTTTGCATTGTTAGTCATACCTTATAAAAAGAATCATTGAGGCAGGTGGGGGCAAGGAGGTTGTGGGTTTTGGGGGTTTTTGTTTGGGCTTTTTCTTTTTTTTTTTAAAGCTATGATGAGGTGTTATCAATTGTCATATCAGACTCACAGCTTTCTCACCCTGACCAACAGTTCCAATTACCAAACCTCATGAGTGACAGCTTATATTTCACTGTCACAGATACTGTAAAATAATAGTCAAATATTTTAAAGCTAATTGTGGCAAGTTTTATCCTGAATAATACATAGGCATATGTTACAGACTGAATTAAAGGGATTTTTTTTTTTCCTTTTATTTTCATTTTCATTGCAGGTTCAATATGGAATTTTTCCAGATAACTTTACATTCAATTTACTGATGGATTCTTTCATAAAAAAAGAAAACTTCAAAGGTAAGAAACCAACCCAGATTCAGTTACTATAGGGCTTTTAGCTCCCAAAGGGAAATGTATAAATGCAGGCACTTTCCCCCTTTTTATTTCTTAGTGATATCTCTTTACCTCACTCTTTCAGTCAGAAAAGTTTTGATGAAGATTATTATCATTTATGCAAAAATTTTTTAAATGTTATTCTTTTTACTGTTGTTAGGACAAGAAGTATCAGAGTACCTAAATGATTATAGAAGAAAAGTTAATTATACAGGCCAATCTATTTTCACTTCCCAAGCTGGCTGAAATACAAAATATAAATAAAGGGTAAAGTAAATTTGATTTAATTTTCATGTGTAATTTTGGATTCAGTAATGAAGTTGGCAGAACTGAGATTTTTTTTTTTTTAACTGGATTTTTAGCTTTGTGTTCTTATAGTGTTTGATTTGTTTATTTAAAAGAAAATATCTTCCAGTCTTTATTTTGCTACTAATTGACTAGATGACTTCCTGGTCTACCTGTCTATCTCAGTTTCCCCATTTGCAAAAAAATATATAGAAATTCATAAGTATGGCTTCATCCAGAACCATGCCAACATGTGCAAAACCAGCTGGCTAGGAACAACTGCAAGTCAGTGCTAATGCTTTTATAATTATGAGTATATGTAAAAATTGGTTAACAGAATAACTCAGTCAAAAACGTGTTACGCTTGTGGTATGTGCAGGCACTATATTTTAAACCAACGTATTAGCATTTTCTGCTTTAACAACAAATAACTAAGGGAAAGAAATTGTTTGCATTTGATTTCCTTGGCTTCTATCTATGTTGTAGAATATTAATGGAAAATGAAAAGTGCTCAAAGCCTGCTCGCCTGTGACCAACGTACATGTGGAAACGAATATCTTATGTTGTGTGTTACACTTAGGGGCTTATCATTTATGAATTAACATTTTCCTTTCCCTTCTTTCAAGTCTTTTAAACTGAGCCCATTGGACTTTTTATAGTCATCCATTTTCTATCTGAAATAATACCTGGGATTTAGGATTTCCTCAGGCATTTGTCCTCTTCTGCCTCAACAGTGAGAAGGTACCAGAGCAGAGCATGGGGCAGTCAGCCCAGCTTCTTTCCTCTGCTTGTCAGGATGACCTTGGGAAGATATGTGCCTCCTTTCTGTATGCTTTAGCTCTTTTTTTTTTTTTTTTTTTGTCTTTTTCCGTGTCCGGCAATGGATCGCAACCCTCAGTGTCGCCCCCGTACCGGACCGGGACCGGCAACGGGATCGCAACCCTCGGTGTTGCTCCCACGCCTCGCTCAGCCAGTGAGCGGGAACCGGTCTATATGTGGGATCCGAACCCTCGGCGGGAGCGCCACCACGCTTCCCAAGCGGCGCACTATAGCAGTGCGCCACCGGGCTGGCCCCTGCTTTAGCTCTTGTAGCTGATAGACATGGTGCCTTAGATTTGCTTCATAATTTATGACATGTTTTCATATGTATTATCTTCTTGGACTATCCAGAAATCTTTTGAAGTAGATGTAGCAAATAGTATTTTATCATTATGAAGATGATACCAAGAGAAATGGTTTATTCAGTGTCCTGTGGTGCTGTCCAGGGGTACAATAGCACCTGGTTTAGTGCAGTGTAGGATGTACAATAGAAGTTAAAGGATTGAGAAAGATCTAGGTTGTGGAAAAATGAGGGCCAGAGCCCACATTTTATACTTCTTAATTCTGCTTATTTTCCTACCACAAACCACTTTTTAAGAGTGTTTGTAGTTAATAGAGGTTTGGTGGTGATACCTACAACTGGTTTCCTCTCATTTTTACTTTTATCTTCTCGCCAGATGCTTTATCTGTGGTTTTTGAGATCATGATGCAAGAAGCCTTTGAAGTACCTTCTACCCAACTTCTGGCCCTCTATGTTTTATACCATTGCCTGGCAAAGAAGACAGACTTCAGTGTAAGTGATCTGCCTTAAAGCAATACTGAGAGCTTTAGAAAAAGCAAGCAGTGGCTGCTCAGTTAGGTATGAGGTGGCCAGAGGAAATGTTGCCCTCAGAAGCTGGAAAAAGGTATCTGATGTGCAGCTGTGTGGCAAAACCAGAAGTAAGTGTTCGGTCTATACTTTTTAGTTACCGATTTCTAACAAAGTAGAACTGGATATATCTCCACTTGAGAGAATCTCAAATGAAAGACTTTGTGCACATTTTGAAACTTGGAGCTAGGCTGAGTATGCTTCAGACATTCACAAATGGATTATTGATGATCACTGAGAGCTGGACATGGCATATCAAAAAAGCAGTAAGGTAGCTAATTTTGACCACAAACCTGAAGTATTTAAATATTAATTATTTAATTTGTATCAGTATTTTCCTAAGGTTACGCTAGCTCAGTTGTATTCTGGAAGGTCTAGAATACCAAGTTTTGATTTCAGCTCTTAGGTTGGGGTATTTAGTCATTGTTTATTGCTATCCTAAGAATATAGTAATAACAACAATAAATAATACTTAACTAACACACCATGTTCTTGGGATTTAAATTTATTAAAGCATTTAATTCTCACTGTAACTCTATGCAGATATAGAGACTGGGACATAGAGATGTTACAGAATAAACACCCCAGCTAGTAGGTGATGAAGCCACCTGGCTCTACGGTCTGCCCTTAACTTAAAATGTAGCATCAAAAAATCCTAGTTTGGGTAGGAAATGAAAAGGTCATCTAGTCCAGCCCACATTCTAAAGTAATGATGATACGTTTTGCCTTTCAGGATGAGTGTCAGCCTATGATGTACACCACATTCATTATTAATTCATTAAATGTATATTGAGCACCTACTCGTTCCATACATTGCCACCTGGTAGTTATACAATGGAAAGCTGACATTTTCTGCTTACAATCTAGGAAGAACACAATCATTTAAAACAAAACAAAACAAACACACAAATATAAAATTAGAAGTATAATGAGCACTACAAAGGAGAAGTCTATGAAAAGCCTATATATTAGGGAGTTATGTTTGTATTTTAAACAAATTGGTTAGTAGGGACTTCCTTAAGGAAATATTTCTTGGGTTGATATTTGAAGGATGAAGAGTAAGTAACTGGCTGAAGAGGGGAAAAGCAATTCAAAATAAGGAAATAACATGTGCAAATGCCCTGTGGCAAAAAGAATATGGTGAGCAGAAAGGGATTCAAAGAAGATATTGTAGCTACAACAGAGAGAATGGTAGGGAGGACATGGGGAAAGATATGGTTGGAGAATGGAAGCCATGCTAAGCCATTTTATCTTCATCCTAAAAATAGGGAGAAGCCATTGAAAAATTTTAAGCAGAAGGGGTAACATGATCAGATTTTTGTTTTGAAAAGATCCCTCTGGCTGTAATGTGGATGAGAAACCAGAACAGGGTAAAGATGGCTATAGTCAGGCCAGTTTACAGACTATTGTGTAGTGCCAGCAAGAGATAATGGTAATGGTGGGACCAGGATGTGGTGGATTTAGAGAGTAGCCAATGGACATATCTGGGAGGTAAATAATAAGATGAGGAACTAGATGTGGAAGCAGGGACATAGGAGTCAAAGAGCCTCTCCTAGCTGCAGACTCGTATATCTGGACAGAAGGGGTGCCGAGTGTTTGTAAAGGGAACTCTGGAAAAAGACCGGGTATCATGAGGAAAATCATTAATTTGGCTCTGAACATGTTGTTTGCATTTTGAGATGCTTTTGAGACAAGAGATTTCACAAGGAAAACTGGGGGCTTAATAGGAAGATCTAGACTGGAGATAGAGTGTTGGAGATTAATCCATGTGTAAATGTCTGCAGATAAACCAGAAAGCAAAAAGAAGGAAAATCAGAAATGTGTTGGACCACCAAATCCATGGGAACAGAGTGGTCTACAACATTGAATGCTGCTGGAGAGGGTAGGGTAAGATGAGGAATAAAAAAATTCATTGAATTTAGTGGTGTGGAGGCACTAAATTGTAACCTTGGTTTCCATTGAGTAGTGGAGCAGGAAACCAAATGGAGTGGACTGTAGAGTGATTTAAAAGTGCAGAAAGAGGAGAGCGAGTATAGGCAACTATTTGGAGATGTCTAGCCATGAAGGGGAGTGGAGGGAGGGGAAGTGGGAGAATGAGGATTTGCTTTGCATAAATGGGAGTGGCAGAAGCATAAAATGGGAAAACCTTGAGGACATGGGTGAGATAGCACCCTAATTAGTCTGTTATAGTATCTACAATGGAAGCTAAAGGCTTTGAAAAGATCTAATGTTTTATGTTGACACATAAATAGCTGATCATATAAGCAGCAATAGTTGCAGTACTCCCAATCATCAGAAATTTTCTAAGACATTTATCTGTTTGTTTAGTTTTTTCATTCATCTTTTTAAAAGTTCTTTCAGAAGTATCACCATCCTAGTCACCGTCACCACCCTTGCATGATTCCTAGCACATCAAAGTTAGCTACGGCTTAGATATTTTACTACTCATTGTACTTTAGCCCCTATTGCATTCTGATACTGTAGCTCCCATTTTTGCCTATGGGGGAAAAATGTTTTTAAGGCTCCTTATTTATTATTCACTGGGCCCACTTTTCGTGCAGTTTCTGTGGGGAAAATCAAGCCTCCCTAGATCAGAGTGGTCTGCTTTTGAAAGTAAAATAACCTGGTCCTTAATTACCAGCTCTTATACTTATCTGTGCTGCAGAAGTGCCTGCAGAGGTTTTTTTTTTTTCCCAAGGTCTCTGCTTTTTTCAAAGGTTTAGGAAAACCTGAAGAAATGACACTTGTATTGCACAAAGGCTAATTGCAGTAAAGAGGTGCCTATTAACACCTGAGGTGCCTCACTTACATGAGGCTGCCACTGCAGCCTGCAGACCTTATTCTTTCTCTGTTTCCAACTGACTTCTGAGTGCAGAGACCAGTGTAGGGCAACCTGAGCTTTGTGGTCTATGTTTCAAAGACAGAGCAAGGGCTCCAACTCTGGCCAGTGTGTACACATATGGCACCAAGATTATAGCTCCCATTGTCTGGGGAGTTGCCCAGGCTCTCCTCTGGGCCCTGCGTTTCCAGCACATCCTTCAGTCACTGCTGTTACTGGTCTGCAGCAGGCTTAGAAATGCTTGTGCTTTTACCCATTTTTCCCCGTCTCACGAAAGGCTTCAATTTTATTGAAGTATGATTATGCACCTGGGGTTGAAAGGAACAATCACTAAGTGTTTCTGATTGCCTAATTTGTTTTCGAGAGGCACATATCTATCTAAAAGCAACTTAATAGTGATATTTATCTTAACACTTTGATAAAGAAGTCTGATCATTGCTGAATTGTTTAAAATTCAAAAGCTTGCTCCATCAGGACATAGCAATATGAGTGAAGAAGAGGTGACAGCATGTTGAATCTTTATTATCTCAAGTCAGCGTTGGTCCAGAGTGTACTCTTTATTTTGCTTTGCTTTTCTGAATGTAAAAGAAACTCTTATTCATTGCCAAAAATTTGGAAAATAATGAAAAGTACAAAGAAGAAAACAAAATCACTCATAATTTCACTACCCAGAAATTGTTAACATACAGGGTATTTCTTGTCCATATTTTTTTTTAACATACTTTTTATTTACAAAATTGGGATCATAATGTATATATAACTTTATTTTGCTTTTTTACTTAATACTGTAACATGTTCTTTGCCTCCATCATTAAAAATCACATATTTGCATGAAGTATTCAATGCTTGAATGGACCATGATCTGGTATATTCTGTTGCAGTGGGAAGAGGAGAAGAATTTCGGTGCATCCCTATTACTTCCAGGCCTTAAACAGAAGAACTCAGTGGGTTTGAGTTCCCAGTTATATGGCTGTGCACTTCTTGGTAAGCAAGTGATCCTTACAAATAATGTTCTTCATCGATAGAATTGATGTATTTTTCTACTTCATAGTAAAATTATAATTTGGTGTAAATTTACTAGTGAAATTCCAACCACGGCCTTTATTTTTAGACATAAAAATAGACCTTGATGGCCTTACAATTATGAGAGAGTAAAGAGGGTTCTTAAAATCTGTCACCACTGGCAAGAGAACTAGTTCTTGTGGCCATAGGTAATATTTAGTGGTAATCAATGTTGGAAAGGGATACAGAAAGGGAAATTCTGGCTCTCTTTAGGAAGAACCAGCCAGTAGAATCTTTCCTAGTATTGACAAAGATCTTCCAGTCTCTTTAGACCTAAAGTCCAAGAGGTAAGAAATTAAGAGTTAAGGTTGAACTTGTATCTTTGGTATAGTTTTCAGGTGAGGCAAGAGAAACTCGGAGATCACAACTAGTATCACTTTGGGAAAAGCAGAGAGTGAGTGGCTCATTGGTACAGTGTGACTGTACCATGTGGTTAGATGATAGCTTTACTTTAGTGTCCTAATTGCATTGAAAATCAGGTCAAGAGGACGAAATCTTCTGAGAAGTGGCCTCAGAACCTGGGTTGTGTCGAATCTGGGCAAATAACATTCAACCAGAACGTGCATAAACATGTCCTGATTTTCAGAGGTTTACTCTTCCATTCTCTCTTAAGTACAGTATTTAGGCATATAAGAAAGGCCTCTTCTCTTGACCATATATTGCTTTTGACTGCTTTTGAAGTTGATCTTTACCAACAAAATGTAGTGTGGCATTCTTGGATGCTGATTCTGATATAAACTCAGAGGAATTTCAGAGTTTCAGACTGGCTATCATACTAACAAAAGAGTTGACTGCTCTTTTTAAAAATCATTTTTTCCTTATTTGCCACCTACTTTTGATATTGATTTACCTGTGTTTTCCTTTGCTTTCAAATAAGCATTCAGGACTATTATACTGCATGGATTGTTCAGGGCTAAGAAAATGTACTTTGTTACTGTTTATAAGCAGAGGCGCTGGTCCTTTGTGACTGGCAGCCATCAGATCAAAAGGTCTTTGCTCTCGTTGTGTCATGTGCTGTGCAGCCTCACCCACCCCTGATGGCAGCAGCAGCCCAGAATGTGACTGCAGTCTAGCACCAAGCACCTTAAAGGTCTAAAATTAGCTGTCACCTGATAAGCTTTGTCTGTTTATGTCCTGCTCTAGCTTTACCAAATCCTCCTTCCCAGGAAAGATAAGTGAAGGTAGATTTAAGAACTGGCAGCTCAAGGTGACTTTGGTTGTTAGTGCAGAGAGGATTTCTGCTCCACAGGAATACAGACAGCCCCTCTTCCCACCAGAGGACCCAACTGTCTGGTGTCCACATCTTAAGCTCGAGTTGTGATGGTTTGAGGTGCCAAGAGAAACATTCATGTTCCAAGATCCAGAAGGACGATGAGGATTTTGTCATTTAACAACTGATGAAGCTCAAATAAAGGAAAGAAGAGGAAAATGGGATTTTTTTTCCATGAGGATGGTAGATTGGGTGTTTTAGAGCATTTGAAAAAATGTGTAACATTTCCTGGCAGAGAAAGTTGTCAGATGTTGACAAGATTTTCACTGTAGGAAAATTGTGGAATTTCTTTCTCTGGGGAAAATTTTGTTCTTGAAACAAAAATAGTATTTCAGTTGACTTGTTTTTTAAGGGTAGCCCTACTTAGAGGCAGACAATTAAACCTCTCTAAGTTTCTCTTAGTCCAGTGATTTATATATTCTGAAGATAATTTCTACCAGCCTAAATGAAAAAGAAGAAAAACATGTTTGCAGTTTTGTATTAAGAAATGTATACAGTGAATATTACCATTTTGTTTATCATTCATGTGAAAATGATGACATCAGGTCACGGATGAGGTGAAGCTCTTGGCATAGATTTGAAATGATCTTTCTCTGTTTCTAGAGCTGCCAGGCGAATATTCACTTGTGCTTTCGATTCTTCAGCCTCAGACAGGGTGGGAAGACGTGCCTGAGCATTCTTCATTGTTCTTTTTGGCCACAGGGAAGGTGGAATTGCAGCAAGGGCTACGAGCTGTGTACCACAATATGCCTCTGATATGGAAACCAGGCTACCTTGACAGAGCCCTTCAAGTGATGGAGAAAGTGGTCTCCTCCCCAGAAGACACAAAGCTATGTAGAGAAGTGGTATGTTCCTCAGCCCTAATTCAGTGAGAACAGTCAATTCCAGTTCCTTACAGTTCCTTATGAATTTGTTTTCATTGTCTTTCCCCCTTCCTTCACTTACTTTTTTTTTTTTTTTTTGATGGCTGGCCAGGCGGAGATCTGAACTCTTGACCTTAGTGTCACAACACCACACTGTAACTGAGCTAACCCTCACCTTTCTATATTTCTATAGAACATGTTCTTATCCAGTTGAAAAGGAATGAAGAACCACAAACATTTTCAATGCTGTTGACAAAAAACACTAGAAAATAAGATTAATGTTGATTTTATAGCTCATTGTCTAGGAGAAAAACTATTCCTCTCCCCTGAAATTCAAGTTAAGTTCAATAAAATACTACTCACTCCACTGCCACCCACCACCCCCCGCCACCCAAAAAATCTCAGTGGGATGTCAAGAGAGGGTAAGATTTCATTTTAAATATTTTTGGCATTTCTGTACCCTCATGTAGTCCTGAAAGACTACATAGCATCCCCCCCCCCATAAAAGCCCTCAGGAAATGAATCTGGGAACTAGGGATGGCATAGTCTTGCTTTCCTTCCATCAGACTGTTCTGTGGTAATGTATGATGCTGAGGAGATCCAGATCCAGTGTTCCTTTCAAAGTTCCAAGGTGTTCATTTTGCCCGAACTAGAACAGTGTCCTCTCACCGGCCTCAAAGCTCATCCCTTTTAGTCACCTAGGAAGTTACTAGACTTAGCTCAGACTCTAGGAAACATGACAAGCCTTATACCCCACAGGGAGCCACTGTGTTTGCTTCTGTCCAAGCAGCTTTTACAGCCAGAGTGAGGCCTTAAAGGACATTGATTGCCACATTACCACGGTATAAAGGTTACCTTAGAGTTGCTTATTTGTTTTGTCTTGACCCTGATCACTAGGACTCACTCCTTGGCTTTCATTTCAGTTGTGAGATGTGTAGGTCTGGTCCTATACTGGCACTTCATACCCAATGTCTAATGGATCATCATGTTCTTTGCCAGACATTTGTAACAGAGGATGCACATTTCTAAATATACATGTTTTAACCTTGCTGTGGTCAGGGCTGGTGGTTGAAAACACAAAATTACACATAAATCCTTTGCAAGGGAAATGTTCCTTCCAATCTGAGCCAGATTTGCATTCTCTGTTTTCGGATCTAATAGAAGCGTGATTCAGATGTTGGCAAGAACATGCCATGTGTCCACTTTGGGTATAATGTATTAGTGGTATTGAAAGGCCCTGGAGTATTTTATGGATTTTTGTTCTACTGTGACATAGACTGGATTAATTGGTATTCAAGCAGGTGCTTATGTTGGTGTGGCTATTGTTTCTATTCCTTCTCTGATGATTAAGCCCTTCATGGGTCAAAGGAGGTATGTCCCAAAGGGAAGGTGGTGGGAGAGAGGGGTCAAAACAAAAAGAAACCCTCTGTTTTTAATTTACCTACTGTCTAAGTCACAGAAGTCACCTCATCAAAGTGAATTTCATGTATGTATCTTTGGTCTTTGCCAGCAGCTTATGTGGATTATGCTGATCCCTAATTTACAGATTCCCTGTGAGCTAAAATCTTTCTCTGAGGGAGGCCCTTGCCTGTATCCTGAGGCTCTAACATGCATTCAGAATGGCCTTTTGTTGGTTGTGATCTTGCTTTTTCTTTGTCCCAATTGCAAACTGATTGAGGAAGAGAGACGTGGAAGGAAGAGGTACGTTAGTGCCCATTAAGCATAATTCTTGGATTCCTACCTGGCTAATTAAAAGTGAACTTAAATGCCATTGTGCTGATTCACTTAAACAAATAATTCTTAGCTTTTCTATTTGTACCATTTCTTTTGTATTAAGTTTTCCATGCCATCCAATAAGGTGTTTCTAACATGAAAAAATATAACCATTTATATTTCCTAGAATTTTAAAAGAGAAATCTTCCCACAGTTTTTAGGTCCTGTTTTTTTCCTTTCTTTTACCTTCCCCAGCCTCTCTTCACAATGTGCTTTCAGGACCACAAGCTGTTTAGTTCCTTCCTGATCCTTTTTCTGCTCCACAGCTCGATGTGCTGGATGTAGTGCTGAAGGCTGTGACTTCTTTGGCTGATGGGGCTTCTGAGGAACAGTCCCAAGAAGGTGAAGACAACCAGGAGTCAGAAAGACTGGTGGAGCAGTTAGACACAGAGGAAACAGAACAGTCCAAGCTTCCCCAATACTTGGAACGGTTTAAGGTAAATCATAGCACAACCGAGTTTCTCTCAGCTGTGCATAAAACAGGCTCCTCTGCTGTGGTGATGGACAAGCAGTCTTTTCATACATCAGTGTCACACACAAAGGCATTAAAAACTGACATCAAAAATTACATTTTTATTGCTTCACACAGGAAGTGGTCTTAAAAGAAACCAGTGGAATTTTCATGTTCTTTTTTGTACTTGAGCTAATTGGTCACAGTTTTGTTCAGTACAGCAGCATGTCATTACCCACTCATCCCTGATATGTGCCTGATGGGTGGATAATAGCTTGCCGCCTCATAGCAATAACCTGACTTCCACTCTAGCTAAAAGTAGCTAGTCATTTCTGCACATTGCACTAAATGTGCTTGAAGCCGCATGTGAATGTGTAGAGATGAGAGACAGGTGTCTTTTATCACTCATCTTTGGCAGCATCATGTCGTTCACTAGGGCCATTAGAAATGCTCTCTTGTCATTCATGGAAGATGTAACCAGTTTCTACTGTTTCTTTCCAAAACAACCCTGAGCACTCAAGCTGCCTTTGGTAGCTTTCAATTCTGTACATCCCAAAATGCTCTGTGATCTGTGTCAGAGAAGAAGAACCACGTTCAGTGTTTAAACCCTTGGCCTCCTCTTGCTTTGTTTCTCATCTATTTAGTGCAAAGAGAAAAAACTGCTGCCTGAATGGAAATTCTTTGTATGGAGCATAAAACTTACCGTCCATGCCCCTGACTCATTATGTCTTTTGGGGACAGATAGATGTTAAACTTTGCTAGATTATTACATTAAATCTTTTCAGTAATTATATGAACCAGCTATGGGAAACGTATTTCCCCATGTTGTAAAGGGGATTCTGTTGTATTTACAGCAGCTGTTTCTCCCAGTACTTCTCTAAGGTCATTGCTCATATTCTCTCTTTTATAATTTGAAACTGAGACAGAAAGGTTAATCGTTGCTGCCAACATTCATAGAGAATTGGCCATAGAGCTAGGTTGAGAATTTGCGTACTTGTCTTTTTCTTATGACTTTGCCTAACTTTGTAAATTTAGAAAGGCTAAAGAAAAAAATCGGCTTAGCCCCATATTTTGTCCTTCACCACATTCACATTGACCAAGGTTGCCCACCACTCCTAAAAATTATAACCTCTTTCTCTTGTTTCTTATGTATTTAGTCTCAGAGAATAGAAACTTATGCCTGTGTTAAGTTCTCAGGCCTTACTCTTTCCCAAATGCATTTTTATGAAGAGAGACAAATATTTGTTGACTGCTAGCTGTGTGTTAGGCGTCACTGCATTTCATTCTTCCTCACAAAAGCTCTGGGTGGTAGACACTGCACTTCCCAAGTTACACAGTAGCAAGGCTGAGAAAAACTAGCCCGTAAGTGACTGACTTGGCATTTGAACGAGTTGGCTGATTCAGAGCTGAGTCCTTATTCTGTTGTCCCAAGCTGTCTCCTTGGCCTCAAACCACATGGAGAGTGATATCAGAAAGAAATCATTTTCATTTTATATTTCCGTTTGGTCCTGTTGCCTGATGTTTATTAGCCAGGGGTAATTTGTTTAGGGCTCATTTGTATGTAACTGAGTCATCATGCCAGGCCTCTGGCTGCTCTATGGAGCCCGTGGACCCTACCTGCCTTCCACCCCTGTATTGGAGCAGGCCTCATCACTTATGCCAGTGAATCCCATTTGTTTGTGGAACATGGGATGTGTGCTATAAGCTACAGCTGGGGCCATAAGTGGCTCTCTCTGATGATCTACATCTTGAAGTAGTTAAATAGATTAATGTTTTTAATACTTACTTCTCCAGGAATACAGTACCAACCAAACCAAGCTGCCATTTCAGGTGGAAGCTTATAATGGAGCAAGCACTCATGGGAGCTGTTTAGCATGCCATTATTGAGAAATCCTTGAAACGATTTCCATCTGTTGAAAGGAGTGCCAGCAAGGCAAACATTTATCTCAGTTATTCTGAAGGAAAAGATGTGTATGGGCACGCTCCAATTGATCAGATGCCTCTGCCATTTTGTTTGCATCTTAGAATTCTTGTTCTTTGAGTTTGCTGCTTGTTTTGGTATAGGTCAGAGTGGAGACATAGATTTGTTATAGCTGTGCTGTCTTTGTGGCTTAAAACAAGAAATTACACAGGAAAACACAGCATATGGAGTTTCATTTACTGTTTGTGAGTAAAGGGGAAGAAATTACATGTGGTGCATCTTAGCAAAATTGCTGAGCTGCAAAGAATGGCAAAAGCTAACAGTGGATGAAAGGCAGCATGACGGCTTATCAAAGTGGCCTTTCTGCAAGCAAAACGTGTGGAGATTTTGCAAGTGACTTAATCTCTTCTCTTTTCCTCTTTATATTCTTCCACCTGCTCTCCCTTTTTCTTCTTTTTTTAATTTATTTATTCGTTTATTTGTTTATTTGTTCATTTATTTATTTATTTGTTTGTTTGTTTGTTTTCCTTTGTTTCCAACAGGCCTTACATTCTAAGCTTCAGGCTCTGGGCAAAGTTGAGTCAGAAAGCCTTTTGACTCTGACCACCCAGCTTGTCAAGGAAAAGCTGCCCACCTGTGAAGCAGAGGACATCACCGCTTACGAGCAGAAATTGCAGCAGTGGCATCTGGAGCGGGTACAGTTGATTCAGAGAGAACAGGAGCAGAAGGCGAGAGCGAAACAGGAGTACCAGGCAAAGGCAGCTGCCTAACTGGGCCCCCAGGACCACAAGAGCCTCTCCAGACCCTGTGGGACTCTGCAGTGGCCGTGACACAAATCTCAGTTTCCACCATTCGTCGTCGTCTTTTGTTGAAGTAGGCCACATTGTTCTACACATCAAGGCCCTGTGACTGCCTATCCAGATGCCAAGAAGGGCTGTGAAGCTGTGGAAGTGGCAAGTGGTCAGACTGAAGCCACCAGCTAATGACCTTGAAAAGGGCTCTTAAGGCTTATGGTTGAGTTCCAGGAGCACAGAGATCAATTTTGAGCATTGAAAGTTCCCAATACCTAAAGTAGGTGGAGGAAGAACCTATGGCTGAAGAGTCAGGTCTCAGGCATGGGCTTTGAATGGTCTCCCTCTTCCCAGCCCAGGCCCATCAGGCCAAGGTCCCTGCATGTGCTGAGACCTTGTGCCCAAGTCTGCTCTGGTGCATGTGTCACTGAATCAGCTGTGGGTGCTCACATCCTCACTTGCTCCTTTCCACCATGCCTCGCCCTTCCAGACCTGCAGTGGGAGAGGTTCAGGACAGGAGTGAACTCAAGATCATGAACCTACTGGATCTCAAATTTCAGGCACTCAGGGCCGGCCTGTGGCTCACTTGAGAGAGAGTGGTGCTGATAACACCAAGGCCACGGGTTCGGATCCTATATAAGGATGGCCGGTTAGCTCACTTGGGAGAGCGTGGTGCTGACAACACCAAGTCAAGGGTTAAGATCCCGTTACCGGTCATCTTTAAAAAAAAAGAAAAATTTTAGGCACCCACAGTGACATTGTTAGAAAGTAAGGGCATTTGAGGAAAAAACTAGCACTAGCTGTTTGAGGAAAAAACTAGCCCTCTTTGGCTTGGCTTCTTCGTCATGTTGGGGTAACTTTTTTTCCCAAGCATTATCTCAGCTCCTTTATCAAGTAGATAAAGTGAGCCTTTTGTGTACACACACGCATGCAAAATCTCATGCAATTTGTGAGCATACATTTTAGTAAATGAAGCTAGGGAAAACGAAAGAAGGGATAGGACTTGAAGTGCATAGGACATGTGAATACTTATAAAATTGTCAAGAAATGAAAAATTTCTTATTGGAGTTTCTCCTATGTGAAGGGGTCGGGGCAGCTTCGCTTGCTATGTAATCTTGCCTTTAAGTACAATGGTGTATTTTTATTCAGGACTGTGCTCTTTTATCAAGAACCTGTGGAAATAAATGTTCTGGGATTATTTTGGTGTATTTTGGGAGAAAGAGGGAATCTTACCACCATCACTGTTACTGTGATTTTGAGCAACATATTTTCAACCCTCCTTCTCTATCAGACTGTGGCCATGATTATGGTAATAGTAACAACCACTACTAACATTTACTAAAGACTTACTGTGTGCCAACAACTCTAGCTGCCCTATGAGCGAGGTACTGTTAGCCATGTTATGAGTGAGAAAATGAAACTAAGTGCTCCCCTGAGGTCAGGCTGCCACTGCTCCTCTCCCTGCCTGTGGCCCTGTATACACAGGTATGTCAAAAAGTTCATGGAAGTATCTGTATTGCCTTTTAATTCTGTTTTTCCATGAACTTTCTCAAGTACTTTTGTATAACTGCAGCAGGGATCCAGGACAGGGTCTTTAAACTAGCAAGGCTGAATTGAATCTTACTTAGGTAGAGGGGCATGACCAAAGGTCACTTCTGACATTTTGATTTATAAAGGGCAGGGCTTTTTTGGCCATTCTCTTATTGCATGAAAGGGAGATTAAAGATCAATCAAAAGGCAACTTTTGCTCAGTAAATTAATGACTGTTGTGGCATGAAGCATCTGAAGCATCTGGTTAACACTTTGGCCCATAATTTTGCCTTCATTTTCCCTCCCCCCCATTTCTGTTGCACTTCCACTCCCCAAAAGAGGCCACTTCCGCCACCGTGCTGCTGTCCCAGCAGGAGTTTCCACGTTCCCCGCTCAGGATTCCATCCACACCTGTGCCCTCGTCTCAGGAGCTCTACGAGTCTTTGCCATCCAAATACTTGTATACAACCCTTTCTCTGGGCTCTGATCTCTTGAGCTGTAGGATACTCTCCCACATTCCTTGCCGATTGTGACTTGTGACTACAGTTGTCCTGTCCCTTTCCCTGATATCACATTCTGTATTTCTTCGATATTGATAGAGAAACTGCTTTCAGTACCCTAGCCTCGGAATGACCTCCGCTGTAACAAATTACCTTTCCTCCAGGTGACCTGCCATAGTCACAACCAAACCTCCAGCCTCCTATCACTAATCCAAGATCTTATACCTGAAGTCCCATTCTTCCCAGCCTACTCTCATACCATGACTCCTGCTGAGCCAGCTTGTTCTTATCACTTTCCAGGCAGAAAGGAACAATGCAAATGCCTAGCCCTTACTCCGTCACTCAAACCCTTCTCTCCAGAATTCCAACCCTACCTGCCTGCCTCCCAGGTTGGGCTTCATGGTCAGCCATCCCACCATTGTTCTCATTAGCATCTTTAATTTTTTCTCACTCCCTTTATTCTGGCCCACTTGCCATCCTTGGACCTTCATCCTTAGACCTACCTGTTATGTTACGGGTTGAATTGAGTTCCCTAAAGGAGATATGTTGAAGCCCTAATCCTCGGTACCTTTAGAATCTGACCTTTAGAAATAAGGTCTTTTATTGAGGAAATCCGATTAAAATGAGATCATTAGGGTTGGCCCTAATTCAATATGACCAATATTCTTCAAAAGGGAAATGTGGACACAGACAGAGGGAGGATGGTGTGAGGACACAGGGTGAAGTCAACCATGTGACTCAGTGATGCATCTACAAGCTAAGGGACATGAAGGATTGCCAGCAACACCAAAAGCTAGAAGAGGCAAGGAAGGATCCTCCCCTAGAGCCACCAGAGAGCATGGCCCTGCTGACATCTCGATTTCTGACTTCCAGCCTCCAGAACTGTTCTGTTCTTTTAGCCTCCCTGTTTTCAATACTTTATTACAGCAGCCCTAGGAAACTGATACACCATCATTAGTTTTCTTTCGGTCTGCTTTTAACCTACTAAGTGTTGGGATACAAAGTCATATATTAGGCTGATTAGATTTCTCTACAAAATTATGGCTATCCTCTTCAATTCAGTAGTCCTTCCATTTATCTTTAATTGACTCTCATTTTTACTTCAATAGCTCCTCCTCTCTTTGTAAGCCTAAGACCTTTTTCCCCCAGACTCAGATGTTCCTGCCTCCCACTTAACCAGGAAAATTTGGGCCACATGACAACCTCCCTACTTTCTACCTTTAACAATTCTCTATGCTTACCATTTCTCTCCATCATCTCTTGCTTCCAAGTGACAGCTGTTCCCTCCCTCCTTTCCAATGTTAAACTCTTCATTTGTGACCTTGACTCTATACCTGCCTGCCTGTTCCAGATCCATCAAGCATTCCCTTGCCATCTTGCATCATCTTTGCTGATTTCTTTTTCCAAGTCCACAGTCCTACTCAAGACTTCCTTCCCTCTTAAAAACAAAAAAGCCTTTGTCCTGACATCAAGCTCCTATCCTGTCACTCTCCTTCCTTATGTCACCAAACTTCTTGAGAGGGTATCTATACTTACTGGCTAGTCGCTCATTCGTCAAACCCTGGGCATTTGGCTTTCAGTTCACCATTCTGCTGCACAGCGTGCTCATCAACTGCAATGATCCTTTTCCCCTCGAAGTGCTCTGCTCCATTGGGCACCACTGACCACCCCCTTAGAAGCTCAGTGTCTGCAGCACCGACTGTGCTCCAGCACGGCTTTTGCATGCTCACAGGCATTTATTTGGCATACACCATGCAAGGCACCATACTAAGTGCTATGGAGTCTATAAAGATGAGTAAACTATAGCTCCTGCCCTCAAATAACTAAGATTTTAGTGAGGGAGAAGAGGCTGGTGTATCTGCACCTGTCAACACACAGCCGAAAGGTGTCATCACAGGAGCTCACAGGAAAAGCACTTCAGGTCCAGAGGCGGGAAAAGCTCTAATGAAGGGAAATCATTGTCCACTTTGGGCTTTAATTAGTCACTTGTGTCTCAAGCTGCCCTGGGGTAGAGAGAACCCTCTTCTCCATGGAGTCTTCTGCAGAGTAGGTGTGTTTGTGAGAAAGTATTTTAAATTGAACTAAAATGAACAATTCAAACTAAACCTGTTTTGGCCCACACCCCATACTCACCTTGGCCAAAAAAGGAATAGAAGGTAGGATGGTGGAAAGAAGAAAAAACTGGTGCGGTGTAAGTATCTCACTCTCCTCCTTTGGGGCTCTGGTGCCTGAGCACCAAATCTTGCATTTTGTTTCTCTTCCTTCTCGTGGCCCAAGGATATCAGATATGTGTGTGGGAAGGTGCTTATAGATTTTACAAGTAGTCAAAGGCCTTGAAGGTAAGTTGATTAAAGTCACTTTTTCACTCTGAATGATTCCGACAGCTAGCTTTAACATTCTTTGTGATCTTTGTTTTACTTTGGATGTTTTCCCTGGAAATAAAATTCAGCATTCTTTTTTTTTTTTTTTTTTTTTTTGCTGAAGCTATATGATGAGCTTTGAGAAATGCTCTTAATTTAACCACCGCAAAAGAGAGGAAAAATAACTGCTGTGGTGGAACAAAGAACTTGGAGCTGGGTATGAAAAACAATGCTTAGAGACTCATTGTGTCACTTAGGTCCTCCAGGAAGCACCTGCTGAGTCAGAGGTAGGAGTGAAAGCAGTTTGGAGGGGGGTGTTGCCTGTGAAAGATAAAAGGAGAGGGAAGTAGGATTGGGCAGGGAGAGCTGTCAGATGGAGATCCTACATCTGCAAAAGGAAAGGATGGACGAAGCACCACCACCTGGCCTCTTGCTTGGTGGGGGGTGGGGGGTGAATTTCAAGGTTCATCATCCCCATTGCCAACATCAGTGAGCCAAGAGTGGCCCCTGGTCTACTACCAAACTTAGTGACACGGTGCCCTACCCTCTCACCAGCGCATTCCCAATGGCAAGACAGGAGATGGGTTTTTGAGTGTGAGTGCTTTAATTGGAGGTGATCCTAAAAAGACAGGTGAGGGAAGGAGAGATCGAGGCAGGCAAGGAAGGAAAGCCAGTAAAGAGTGCGTAATTGAGTGAACAGTGGACAGGCTCGCTGCTGCAGCAGACCCTCTGAGGGACTGGAGAGCACACCTCAGCAGTTCCCACCGAGGGCAGGAAGCTGGTACATTTCTCCATTACCTCCATCCCCTCGGGGGCTGGGAGCACTTCTAGCCTGCTCCTTGTGCAGTGCCAGCACGCTCCCATGACCAGGAAACACCCCTGGGCAGGAACCAGGAAGCCGTCCATCCACTGCTGGGGACTGTCTACAGGTGACCTCAGGAGCAAGCCCAGGACTCATTCTCAACTGGGGGTGGGTGATTTTGCTACCAGGGAACATCTGGCGATGGCTGGAGGTATTTTTGATGTCACAACTGAGGGGCTGCTGTTGGCATCTAGTTAATAGGCCAGGGATACTGCTAAACATCTTACAGTGCAAGGACAGCCTTCACAACAGAGAAATATCTGGCCCAAATGTCAGTAGTGCCAAGGTTAGAAACCCTGGCCAAGGGTATATGCAGGGCACCCACGGGTCTTTTGCAGTGATATAAATGAGACTCGAGAATGGAATTTGTGGCAAATATCTCA